GTGCCAGCGCCGGGCGCGCGGCGCTTGGGGAAGGGGGAGGAGGGGAAGAGAGCACCAGCGCCGGCCCCGGGAATGCGGCTATGGGGGGGCCCCCGCTCGGGGGGGGCCCTGCCCCCCAGCGGGTGAACGGCAACGCCCCCTGGCGCCCGGCAACCCCAAATGGTTGGGGACCACTGCCTTAGAGCAACAACATACATTTTGAGTTTCCCCAACATGAAACAATGAACTTCACAGAAACAACTCTTTAGTTATAGCTAAAAACACTATGGACATTTGTGTTCGTATAACTACACGCTAATTAGCCAGACCACCAATTCTTTGATCTAGTCCCATCAAGTGGATTTTGCCCAAGTGCAAGTGCAGCTATTTCAGACTAGGTTTCTCTCTGAAAGCAAAGCAAAAATGCATCTTGGTTGCAATTATTTCCTGCAGAATGTTCAATATATCAGCATTCCTTCTCCCTCCCAGCAGCTGCTAGAAGTAAATATTAATCTCTAGACAGAAAAAGCATTTACCTAAATCTCCAAGAAAGAACGGTTACTTACCTCGTAACTGTGATTCTTCAAGATGTGTTGCTCATGTGCATTCCAATATAGGTGTGTGCACGCAGTGTGCCCACGCTGTCAGAGACTTTTCCCTCAGCAGTACCCTTAGGGCCAGCAGGGAGCCCCCTGGGGATATATCGGCCCATATACACCCCTGCTGGCCCCCTCACCCACTCCGTTCCTTCTTACCGACATATTCCGGATAAAGGGCGGTGGGTGGGGATTTGGAATGGACATGAGCAACAGATCTCGAAGAATCACAGTTATGAGGTAAGTAATCGTTCTTTCTTCTTCGAGTGATTGCTCATGTGCATGCCAATATAGGTGACTCCAAAGTAGAACCTAACTAGGCGGAGGGCTGGATGTCAAAACCACCGAGGAGTTAAGGACTGCCCTACCCAGGGCAGAATCCTCTCTGGCCTGATCGTACAGCGCAAAATGGTTAGCAAACGTGGACCGAGGACCATATGGCAGCCCTACAGATGTCCAGGATGGGAACCTGCACTGCGAAAGCGGTGGAAGCTGCCACAGCTCTCGTGAAGTGTGCTCTAAGGGTCGGGGCTGAAATGCTTGCTATGGAGTAGCACTCCCTGATACAGGCGGTTATCCATGAGGAGATCCGCTGAGCGGATACAGGTTGGCCTTTCATGTGTTCCGCGATGGCTACGAAAAATTGTGGTGATTTTCCAAACAGTTTGGTCCTGTCTAAATAAAAGGATAGCACCCTACAGACATCTAGAGTGCGTAAAGCCTG